TTGGAAAGTCTAAGCATTAGTGGAGTTTTCTTTTTAAGAAAAAAAAATCTAAAATTTTTGTGCACAAAACAGCTGCGATGTCAAAGTTTTGCCTTAGATGACATCAAAAACTTGATAACAAGCACAAGCTTTAAATCTAAAATAGTATGGGAATATGTTTCAGTAAAACTTTTATTTACTTGTAACCCCCAAAAGGAGAGGTCACAATGAACACAATCTTACTTTGCCTAAACTGTTAAAAAATTCAAAGAAAGAAGCTTGTGGATAATTCAATTTTTGGATAAGAAGTGATGACTCTATCCCATTCAGAGATGCTCTCTCTTATAGATTGATTTTGGGAATAAACTTTGGGTGATTTCGAGAAAACACGTTTATTCGAGGGTGTGTCGCTGTGGGATTTATTTCTATGTGGAGACTGTAGTGGAGCCTCGGGAGGGTAGAAATAATAGAAAGAAATTAAAATAATGTAGACAAGGGGACCAGCTTCATCCGAATCTGGTGTCTAGAGTTAGGTCTGTGGCTTCGCTCCATTGGAGACCTAGCCAGAAGTGGAGCCTGTTTCAGACATTGACATGGCCTGCGATGCGGCTCGCTTGCGTACTGCGCGAAATGGGTCTCCTCGTCGTTATTGGGCGCTGGAGGGACAGGAACCTCAAAGTCCCGACTGAAAGCGAACATTAAAATTTCCATTCTCCAATGTGATCTTAGTAAAATTATCATACACTGCTACAAATATTATCCACTCGAAACTTCCCCTCTTAGAATGCAAATTACAGAACTTTTAAAGGGGGCCTGCCCCCCACTATATTTTCGGGGGGGGGGGGTGAGCACTGGCCCCCACCCCTCGATTCCTACGTCCGTGGCTGTCACAATACTGCTTTCAAAGGGGTCAACTGCAAATGACCAGTGATGACTTTACCATGGTCACTGGATTCATCTATGCCTTCGTCGAGGAGACACTCATTTCCGTCTTCACAGACTACACTGTCCACAACTACAGCTAATCAGGCACCAAATACCGGTTCTAACGAGGGGCTGTCTGTCGTTTGGCCCAGGGCTTAATCTGGAGGATTTTTACGAAGAAATCAAAAACCAATTTGCAAATACCATCAGCTCGTTGTTTTCGAAAAACGAAGCCGAACGTAATGTTACTCTACGTCATGCACACAGCCCATTTACCGAATTCTCTTGCTCTGTACTTTACCTCGTTGGAAAAGGGTGTTATCAAAGATATGCCCCTTTCATCTCAGGGAAACCAAAGTCAAACATATACCTTTGAACTGAATGAACAGGAATGCCGCGGTTCAGAGGTTGGATTGAAATTAAATTATTTTTGTTATGCAAAAGGGAGTTTATTCCGATTTTTGGATTAACTGCACATCGGTATCGCAATCAAAATATTTCCATCGTATGTTTTAACGGTCTGAAACTGCAAGAAACCGTATGCTTTGCATAAGGAAATTCTCATTTGCGCCTTTCCTTGCCACTTTGTTATTGCAGAATACAGGCGATTCACAATAGTGCGTCACCGAGAATTTCCAACGCGTTGGCCAATCACAAAGCGCGAAATTTGTCGACCCTTTCCAAACGCGCATTGGGTCAACAGATTTCACGCATTGTGATTGGCCAACGCGTTGCAAACTCTTGGTGGCGCACTATTGAGAAACGCCCGTATTAAATTAGCAACCTAAGGATTGTTTAATAGGAACTTAAGAGGAATTGATTTATACGTATACAGGACGCCCATACCGACTAATTTTGCGGGAGTGATCCACAGAACTGGGCGAAACATGAGTCCGGTATTCCTTGTAAAACTCGAGAGAGATCGGACATTGCAAGAAAATTAAATATGACGGCAATGGACCAGTCAGTCGGGGGAATTCAAACCTAATTAAAGCTACAGCAATTGGACGGGCGTCAGCAACGGCTGCTTTATACTGCCAATGAAAATCGGAGTGGTCATTTCCTTCCACACGACAAAACTTGGAGTTGGCAGGAGTCAATACTAAGTTGTCTGTTATATCTGTCTCTATCGATCTCTCTGGAGGAAATAATGGACTTGGCTTTGGCATGGGTATCTAACCATCAACATTTTAATCTCTGCCGGCAGAAAAAAAGAATGGGCACCTTGGAGGCACAACACCTCATCAGAAGATACATCAATGACTGTTGCTATGCGACTGTTCGAAACCTACAGAGGCGTCTCGTCCTATCCATGGCTTACATCTACAATAGTCGGTACGGTCAAAGAGCCAAAATTTAATAAGAGCGCATTTCTCACCCTGTTCGAAGCTGTAATGACGTTCTTACGCCTAAGAATATAGAGTCGAAATCCCTAAAAAGGGGTTTTTCATGCCTTCGAGGGTCTGTGATTGAATTGTCAGCTCCTCAGGATAGAGGCCAGTATAAAATGCGACAGTGAAGATGTAGTGTGTATTGCGGTCTTAGATAGTAAACTAAGAGGGGTGATAACCAAGTTTGTCTAGACCCTTATTCTTTCGTTCTTCACGAAGTATTAATTGTAATGGAAACAAAAAACGAACGAGAAATTTATCAAAACCTGGGTGCTTCTAGAGTACGTGTACCAAGATCCATTTCTTTCCGCTCCACATTCGAAAGATTAATGTCAGACATCGGTGTTAGTATTTTTCCTGACAGCAAACAAAGTTGTCATGTTTTTTGCCAATTTCATGATTAACAACTCCACTGCTTTTTGTAAGTGCATTAATTCAACTTGGATTGGTAAATCTGGAGCAGTCTATGTACACGTTTATAATTCCTCAAAGCCGGTAGATTCCGTACACTACAGAAACAGAATCCATTTAATGGAGTTCTTCCTGCAAACGATTATGAGAGAAAACTCATTTCGATTGGAAGAGCACTTACTTCATATGATTCGACCATCCAATGAGAGCGTTTTGTACATGCGTGTGGCATGGGTGAAAATTAGTACAGATCAAAATGGTTTGGAATAAGGATTAGGATATCTTTATTCTAAAATCGGAAGCTTGTCGGCGTTTTTCACTTAGACTTTATATCTAAGACTTCTACTGTCAAGTTACAATAATTCGGACCTTCTGCGCTCGTTTGATTAGGACGCTGCCTCTGATTCTAAAGAAATTAGCACATGGGGTTGTTTACCGATTGACCCATAGTGTCGGAAAAATTTAACAAAAACAGCAACCAGAGCTTTTTCTCGAGAAAGAATACCGGCGATTCACACTAGTGCGCCGCCAAGAGGATCTATGGATCTATGCATTTCAAATGCTAAGGAATATATTTAACTCTATTTATTATTGAAAAGTGTTTAAAATTAATCACAATTATTTTCAAATAAATTGTCTTAAGTTTACATATTTACACTTCATAAACGGAACCAGGCTTTGTATAAGCCTAAGCTTCCTTTAGGTTCCTTTCATCTGTCACCTTTCATCTGTATTTAAGTTGCTTCATTACTAGTGAACTTAGCTTTAACTGTGACTACTTCCATGGTTGTGACATATGGAAAATAAACCCCATCTCCAAAAGATGATATCCAGTGCGTTGGTCCACCACGTCGCAGCTGATGGACCATCTCACTTATGTCACAACACAGCCGACACGTAGGCGCTCTGGTGTTTACTCTACGTCAATTATGCATGTCAGTGAAAACGAAAATTCATAAACTCAGGCAGTGAGGTGAATAACGATGCCAAACTCGCTGCAGATGATGGGTTCGAGGAGATTAATCAAGTGGAAAACACAGTGGGTAATTATTTAATCTGCAATGCCAGGTCAAAAAGGAGATGCTCATGCTTGGGGAGACTGGAACTAGTTGATACAGGAGCAGGATGTCGGAGTTGCAATGACTCGAGTCAACGACTCGACTTGAGCCGACTCGAGTCACGTTTTGGGGACCAGACTCGACTTCCGACGAGTAAATAATGACTCGAGTCACTGCAAGCAAATGACTCGACCCGACTCGAATAAAGATGAATAAGACTAGACTGAAATAAAATAAAAATATGAAAGCGCACCTCTTTACAAAAAAATAAAGGCACACTTATTTTCAAAAAATACTTTCAATGACTTAAAAGGCCCGTTTGTAATGTTCATACATGCCATATTATCATCAAGACTATTGTGTGACCACATGTAGACACCCAGAGGTAAATTTAAAAATGCCAAAAAATGACTTCCTGTCTTGTTTTTATTTATCGTATAATGTGCAAATATTGGTGACTGGAACTGACTTGAGCTAAAATACTTGACCATCGACTCGACTTTTTCGCCAAATGACACGACTGGAGTCACTACGGTACACTGACTCAACTCGACTCGAGTTGCAAACCTTCAAGTGACTCGTTACAAGAGTGCTGGATGTTGTGGTGCTTGTTATCAACTTGACACAAACTATTGGTCAGAGTCTGTGGTTGAGACAATGAATATCGCACCTTCATAATTCTAAGAGTCAAGGCTCACAACACGTCGTTAGAAACGTCTACGATTGCTTTAAAGCCCCGAGAACATTTTTCATTTCAAAATTATTTTATTATATCTGTTCTTGGATACTTCAGAATACGTGTAGGTCAATAGTCTGGGGACCAAAAAAACTAACCAAAGAAATCTTCCTCATGAGGCAGTGCCAACTAGAGCACGAACAAAAAAATATATCTTCCTACAGCACGTTACTGACAACCTTAATTTGCCTTCAATGTTAAACTGGCATCCTTCTGCTCTTTTGATAATGTTGGAGCCCATGAGAAAGGAGGCACCTTGCACGCATTTAACAGTAACGTCAACGAAGTCAGATGATAATATACACGAAAAGTCCATCCCAAATACTCGTATTAAAAGCATTGTTTTACGACGGTTGCACAGAACGCAAGAAGACCTAAAATCTATTGGAAACAAACTTTGTACGATGAAATAAACTGGAAATGTACTCGTCCCTTACCATGATGACCAAAGATGCGTTAATATGATGAGGATATATCTACAAAAATCCAAACAGAACTTACGTTTACGATCTGACGATATGTTGGTCTCAGGTGAATCTTAAGCTGAATTGCAGCGAATGATCTGAAGCCAAAATATCATGCTCTCTTTGAATGCTCGCCTTACTGTCGGGCATAAAGCATGACAAAAAAGTCTGAAAGACAGACGCAATCCTGCACGATCACAGAAATCAAAATTACTGTGTGCAATGTGAAATATTCAAAAAATGATCCAGTGTCGAGGCGAAAGAGATGGAGCAAGGTGAAACTTCATCAAGCGCCTCCGGCCAGGCCCGCGCGGTGAATCGAATACGACAGACAATTTACTACCCGTAGCACCAGGAATACTGGCTGCTGTGACGTCATGCGCACCAAAATCACCGACGAGGCGGTGACGCGTCGCCCCGAATAGTCACCGCTTGTATGAGAGAAAAGTCGTCGTCTCCTAGCCAGCTGCCAGTTAACTTTACTTGGAGTGCTTTACTGTGTGCAATCTTGCGATGCATGTGTCGTTTTATTTCTACCGTGGTGTAACAGATCGTGTCAATTTATTGATGTCATCATGTGATAGCCTACAGGCACTGATGGATGGTTACCACAGGTGCCTGGTTATGATGAACGCGACAGGAAATCGCGCGGGCGCGCCAGGTCTGACCCATTGGGGCATCAGGAAAGCGGGAATCGTCCCGCCATGGTGATAACAGCTAGCAACGGACTCGGAACCAAGAGAAAAACAAGGTCAACTGCTAATGTTGGCCCTCGTGACAGTTCTCGGTTGATGAGGAAGCGTGGTGTCACTCACAACCACACTTGCAATTCACATACGCTGTACTAATCCCGAGGCCACTGGCTGCTGAAAAAAATGCAAATCCGCAGTTTTTCTTTGTGTTCATTCCATTTGAAGTAAACCGTGAATTGCGCGCTTAGTGTTGATGTACGGCTTCTGTTTGAATGAAGCACCTGAAGATAGCGTTTTCACTTAGAGATCAAAGAAGCGGAAGCATTGTATTGTGAGTGCGTGATGTCCAAAATTGCATTACCTCCACCAATGCACCAAAACATCACACCTGCTTGACTATTCACACTTTGCTTCCATCTATACACGCTTGAAAAAACAGTTTGGAGAGAGAGTGGCACAGTTTAAAAAAGGAAACATACGTGTTCGTGCATCGGATGGGCGAGTTTGATGGGATTTGTCTAGAGACTGACGGACAACTTGGTGGGGGCATTTTAACAAGCTGTTGTACATCGGCCTTCGGACGCAGCGAAGTGATGTTAATTTTATTTATACGTAGCTTTTATTGGAATCCCTTCACACCGCTCGCAGTCTGAGGTCACAGAAACGAGGGTAAAGGCTTGCTGATCAGAAATCCTTATCGGACCAACAAGGGGAGAATGCTTGGTGAGCCTTATGTCATAGCGAGAAGGTTCGGGGTGAAAGTCCTTTGATCGGACATCTCAGACGCAAACCACCACACGCTGAAAATGAAGACTTTCTGACGCATCGAGGTTCAGACGAGTTCAGCATAGCAAAACACATTATACGTCTGAACGTTTCAGATATAGTCTGGAGCCTTCTTGGCAATATACAGAAAGGAGATCTAATCAATATGGCGCCTACCGCACTTCCCCTGTTGCTATGGCAACCACGTTTCTACAGTTATGCTTTCCTCCATATGCAATGCTAGAAATGTTGAACCACTTCTGAGGGATGGATAACCAACGCTTAGTTATGTAACGAAGCTGCTAAATCGATGCATTGACATGCATGTTGACTATAGACAGCTCCGTTCAGTCGCGCGAGGAATAGGCCTAATATTTCATAGCGAACTCCAGATGTAATCTCACATATTTTATTCCTGTTTTGTCATGCAACAAAATATCAAACAGCCAGGGACTGACCGTATCATGCACAAAGAACGGTCCTCTCTTTAAAGACGTAATGCCCATGCTTTTGAACAAGACAAGCTGAAAAATCAAATCGCCTAGCCTATGTTGGCATCATACGCGTCCATTAATTAATGATTCAGCAAGCAAACGTGCGTAGTAGATCAAAGACATATAATTTCATAAAATATACACTAGGCCTACTAGGCGTCCGCTTATTCAGATATATGCATAAAACTAAAAACTCTAGAATATAACACGGACTGCGTTTGACGAAACAATATTTCTTATATACGGAATGCTTTCTTGATTGAGTTTTCAAAGAGAGGAGCAAATATTTGCCCTGTGCAGTTACTGACATAGGCATTGCCGGGATTTTTTTCGGGGATGGCGCAGCACTTCTTACATTGGCAGCAAAGTAACAAATCATCCTCTGTTAAATGGTCTCATCCCACAGGCAGGTATCTTTAGTCAAACTGGTAATCATTTTTACAATCCTTTTCCTTTCTTTTTTTTTGTTTTCCCTTTTTCCTGCCCCCCCCTTTATCTTTTCAAGTTTCAAGTGGACAAGTGCACGCCCAACCCCTCACAACGCTTATGGTTACAGATATGGTTGTAGCATGCCTTACGTTGCGGAGTGACTGACAGGCCACTCTAGAACACTTAATTAACGAACCAAATCAAGGCTGATTTTCAATTACTATTCCACTTCAAGTGAAGAGGGACAGGTGAAGTCATCCACTGCAGCACTCGCGCTGGGAATTCGCAAGAATCGAAGACATTTCAACGCTGTTGAATTCGTTGCTGAAGTCTATCAAGTATGAATCTAGTATGAATACACCTTGAGTGTTCTGCATAATTTTGGAGTGTAATAGTCTCCAGCATTTAAAGTTTGCTGGAAATTTGCGCGGGAGGTTAGACAAATTTACAAGGCGCAGATGGTCATGAATGATTATGACACTTATTTGCCCTATGAGAGATACCCACATGACGGAAAGGAAAGACAGCTGCGCGTTTGTCGATGGGATACATTCCTAACAAAATACACGAATTCCCCAAGCACCACTGTGATACACTGTATGGGTTGTACCGTGGAATTCAGCAGGTCAATTTAAATATGTCTCCTGCATCGTTTGATACGTGCAAAGCATCCACGTGAAAAAATTGCTCTTAATTTAAAAGGTTTTATATGAATGTGCACCCTCACGTGAACACTCAGGTTCTGTCATGGTGCGTTTTTTTCTCCTCCAGATCAGTTTACTTACTCCGATCCCCAGTCTTGAAAGCATAAACTTCCCCTCCGAAAGGACGTGACTCGTAATGGTAGCAGTCTGTCATGCCCCAGGCTAATTGTACATCAGCCTTATCGAGTCATAACTGGTACGTGGTTGGTCCAAGCACCGCAGCTGTCAAGCGTTTCACCAGGGTCTGAAAACGGCGGCTGCGCCGATGTCCTTTTAATATCACGTCCAAGGCGGGTCAAATCATTTCAAATTCCAATCCCGTGAGAAAAGGTGCTGCGTTTCGGTTTCACCCATCTGTACATGTACATGTGAGAACTATTGGCATCGATCTCCAATATATAATAGAGTTAGTGGAACTTGGCAAGTGGCAAGCACTGTACCGGTCATGCTCTCTTGGGTGAACTAATTTGGACAGGCGCCCATTAGCTTCAATCTAAAAAAAAAAAGGAAAAAGTCAGGAGGGAATCCGCCCTCCTCGACGTGTTTCCGATTTTGTCGCAATGTATTACCCCAGGGCCGAACCTTGTGACTTTCTTGTACTAAGACTTAACAATCATTTTGACAACTAAGTTATGAAAATTGGACCTACCGTTATCACGAGATGTCCATCTTTCCAATGCCTGTCACCAAACGTGGTTCCATTTGCTTGCTCAATGCAAGCGCTGGCGCAAATATGTAACTACAAATGACCTCATTAACAAAAAACCCTCGAGTAGGATTGAACTGAAACGTCATAATGACTGTAAGCATGTATGTAAAGCTTCAAAAAGACGGGCATAGGACGCCTGTTATCTTGAGAAGGGGGAAGGAATTCACCCTCTCCAGCCCTGAGATTGTCCGAAAAAGCCGACAAGGTTAGACGTGACATTAACACTTGGAAAAAAGCGGTATGTTTGCTGCCACCAAGTGTCTCAAAAGCCTACCATATATAAGAAAAAATATTCTTCGTTCATTTACTATACATGCGCTTACCTGTGTGCAAACTCGACTGCCTTTGATGTTAACACCCTCTGACTTTTGCCTGGCCCAAGTACGTGACCCGTCAAGCCCATTACGAGGAGAAGAATCCCAACATGGAGTCTTTGTTGAACGATGCGAAAGAAAGATAACGCTGTTGTCCATAATTCAGACAAAATTTTGCTTGTTGTGGCAAATTCAGTGGCTTAAGTCAGGTGATCAAGATCAGTGAAGAAAGCCCCAAAACTTTGTTGTCCAGTGCCTCGAAAGTTTGAACTCACTTTGCAAATTGAATAAATAGCAAGGCCTTTTGACCCTAGTTAGTTGTTACTGCCGGATTTCATCTAAACTGAGTTCGATCGTTGATCACCACACGTTTCGCATGTCCATCCGTATCTGTGACGAAAGCATTGGTGAGCATAGAACTACATTGTATTTGAAGCACTTGATAAGAAAATGTGTTACTCATCGCTAAATTAGAGCCAAGTCAGTTCGTACAGAGAGAACCCGTATTTCGCAATAATGCAGACTTTGTTGTAAAGTCACTGAGTCCTCAACAGACTCGTCATTGGCGACTTGCGTGAGTCGGAGTATCGACTTTAAATAACCAGAACAGGACAACTTGTGTCTGGTACCCAGGATGTCTTTTTGTGCGCAGGTTACACCGCTGGCCGACAAAACAATCGTCGCTTGAATTTGCCAATGGCTGACTGTCGTAAGGAGATAGATGATTTGGGAGAGTCATTATGACATTGTAATCAGAGTAGCCGGTGCATGTTGACCAGTATAGTTTAAACAATTTAAATTCTCAACAAAAGTGTTGGAGTTGAGGAGAGTGGTGAGCGTGCCCACACTAGCTCCCGCCTACCTTCTCATTATTTCATGTGATTATTGTGAACCAATTTTTTTCGAGTGCTGTTGGTGTCTCATTAGACAACTCATAAGGAACGCAACTGATAAAAAACTTCCCAGTTCAATGTGAAAATGTATTCTTCGAGGGGTTTAATACACCCCAAAACACGTATATTTATTTTTAAATTAAGAAATGTGAGGGTCATAACGGAAATAATATTAATCTGCTATTGAACTATAATCTATTCTTTTGGTACAAGTAATCAGATTCGCGCTAGTTCTTCTCACCATAGAGGAGAAGATGTCCGCTTGCACGTAGTAACATTTTAAATCAACGTTCCGCGCACGTAACCTATGACTTTGAGTTTCCCACAAAAAATGTGTCGTCCGCGGGGAGAGGTCTTGTGTTTCCGCAACCAATCGAACTCGCCCATAA